AGAGAGGTCTGAATGCGAAAAGTGGATAAAAATACCCGAATATAAGCAACAAGTGGTCAATTGGACGCAAGTGTTCACTAAACAGGGGTTCACTATAGAGAAGACTGAAATTAAGGAAACCTACACTACCAACCATATATCACTCGCAGAAAGTAAGTGTACAGTGAATTAAAATTATTATAATCAATATTTTATTCAAAATCCGTTATAATCGGGAATATACTGTACATAATATATGAGTTATTAATAGTATATTAATTATGCGATTGTATTGTCGGTAATCACCCGAAGAGTTGGAGCCAATGGTGGAAAGACTTTACGCCAATTATATAGCGAACGGCCGCACCATTGATGACATTCCTCCTGAGCTGAGGCGCCGTTTTTTGGAGCAATCGATCGACCAGTGGCTCAACTCCAAGAGCCCAGAGCTCGACCTAACAGTCCTGTCCCGAGCGTTGGGCCGACAGATGGGGGACACCATTGAAGTCCTCTACAGAAACGCGTTTATTATATGTAGAAAAATGTGATCACATTTTGTTTAATAAACAATTAGTACGCGATTATGATTTATTAACATAGTTTAAGAGTTATGATGTACTGATTGTTTTGCCTAGTTTATTTGTAGATTGTTAATTAAATTTTACATGGTTCTATTTTATTCAGTTTTAGTTAATACTTATAAGTTTTAATAAAATACTTATAAAATAGTTTTATAGTTTAAATTAAAAAACTTTTATAGCAATACTTTTATAGCACTAAATCGACAGATAATTAATTGCAAATAAAAAATTAATTACAAATAATTATTGTTTAAAATTTACTAAAATGTTTTAAATAAAGTTTTACATGTTTTCAATATTGATTTTATATTATTAATTTTGATTCAATATAATTAATTAAATACTTAATTGTAAACTTATAGGGAATATAAATATGGCGTTTATTCCTATAGGCGCCTTCGCGGGCGCCCGCCCACTGGGCGTCCGCCCGGCACCCGCCTTCAAAAAAACACCCACGAGATGGAAGCACCGGTCGAAAATAGCACTGTTAACGCTAGTCCATCTCCCAGCATAGCCTTCTCGGCTATCGTACAGACACTGATTGACTCATGCGCTGAAACAAAAGTCAGTTATAGCGCCCGATAAGTGCCCATTTTCTCACGTGACACCGGGCGGGTGTTATTTCCCTATAAACTTATTTTTAATATTTAAACGTAAGTTATGTTGAATTTGAGTGAAAATTCATGCATTTGTTTACAAAACAATAGTTTGAATGAAATGTTTGATTGAATTGTGATTTAAATGACAATTAAATCAATTAATGTTTAAATTGTGGTAAAAATGAGTGAAATATTGATCAATGATTTGGTGGAAGAGTTGAGAGGAGATAATGAAAGTCTTCGCAAAGAGTTGTCATTTGAGAGACAATTGAATGAAATGTTAGAAAATATCGCAAAATATTCATTGGATTTGAAAACCAATTGTTTTTGTGAACGAAATAAACAGACATTTGTTTTGTTGAATGATTTGCACTCAAAATACCAAACATTTAGAGATAATCCAAGACTCGGATCAGTTGGCGATACAGACATACATTACACCACTCAAGATACCACTTTTTTACCGCCAAAGAAGTCAACACTTTGTGAACAAACGAGTGATACAAATGAAGACATCATTAGACCCGATGACGGATCAGTTGATGAGATCAACGGATCAGATAATAAACAAAGAGACCCAATAGTGATGTCATGTGAAAGCGATACCAAACCATTCATAACTGATCTTTTGATGTCTGGACCCGACAGCAGACGTAATACTATTTTTGGTCAACTTTTTGAATCTAACGCCGATCTCGAACCACACGTGCGGACACACGTCACCGACGATCACATCCAGACATCGATTACCAAAAAATCTAAGTTTACATTCAAATGTTTGGCCGAAGAATGCGACCACAGATTTATCGCAAAGATTAATCTCATTGAACACATGCTAAACAGTCATCGAATAGAAGACACGTATGAATGCAATGATTGCGATGCCGTGTGTCTGACCACCGATGAGATCATTGGACACCGACATCGAGAGCATGAGATGCAAACAATTGTGTCCACTCAAGAGCCCTGTGGCGAAGGTTTCGGTAGAGACACAGCTCTTCGGCAACACATTCAAGACATTCACACAACTAGTGGTCAACAAAGTCTTAGCGGAGAACTCTTAGACATCGATGGATACAATAGATCCGATGCAGTGATAGTACGACAAAATGCTAATACAATTACTACTCACGAGACGACGAGTGACCGCTATCTTAAAATAGGAGATAATGCCAGCAAAGCGTTATACAGACGGCTACGACCGAAACGCCACAAATGCGATTACAACGGATGCCACAAACGGTTCGCCGACGGCAGAGATCTTCGTCTGCATCGCTTGATTCACTCGACGGACAAACCGTTCAAATGCACAGTCAATGGCTGTGAGTATTCCTGTGTAACTAAATACCAATTGGAGACCCATATGAACAGACATCTGGGTATTAAACCCTATGCGTGCACTCACGAGGGCTGTGGTAAACGGTTTGCCCGCAAAAACAATTTACAAAGTCATGCCTTCAAACACACAGCTGTTGGGCAACGCATTCACACAACTAGTGGTCAACAAAGTCTTGGCGCACAACTCGTGGACTTCGATGGGTTCAATGGATCAGATGCGGTGATAGTACGACAAAATGCTAACACAATTACCACTCACGAGACGACGAGTGGCCGACACCTTAAGAGGAGAGATAATGGCGGCCAAGGATTGAAGGGTCGGTTCCGTCCGAAACGATGCAAATGTGATTACAATGGATGTCACAAAGCGTTCGCCGACGGCAGAGATCTTCGTCTGCATCGGTTGACGCACTCGACGGACAAACCCTTCAAATGCACAGTCAATGGCTGCGAGTATTCGTGTGTAACTAAATACCAATTTGAGAGACATAGTAACAGACATCTGGGTATTAAACCCTATGTGTGCACTCATGAGGGCTGTGGTAAGGGTTTTTCCAGCAAAGACTGTTTGCAAAAGCACGCCATCAGACACTAGACAACCGCCCATTAGTTCCGCGGCGGCTAAATGTTGTGACTGTAAGACATGACATAGAAATGCGTTAACAAGTGATGGGAAACGGGTTTATAATTTGTTTGTATGAAATTGTTGTCATTATGTGTTTGTATTTTAATTATAGTTTTAATTAATTACTTTTAATTGTAAGATTTGACTCAAAATTTATTGATTTGTTTTACAATTAATTTAAATAAAACTTTTGATTTAATTGTTAATAACTATTTATGTGAACGTAAGTTGTGTTAAGCCGTGAGCTCTCAAAAGTTAAGCATTTGTTTACAAACAATACTTGTATTCAATGTTTGACTCAATTGTGATTTAAATGACAATTTAATTAAAAGTTTTAATTATTAGTTAATTATATGAATGATTAAATTGTGGTAAAAATGTCTGAAATATTGACAATGGATTTGATGGAAGAGTTGAGAGAAGAGATCCAAAGTCTTCGCAAAGAGTTGTCATTTGAGAGACAATTGAATGAAATGTTAGAAAATATCGCAAAATATTCATTGGATTTGAAAACCAATTGTTTTTGTGAACGAAATAAACAGACATTTGTTTTGTTGAATGATTTGCACTCAAAATACATGACATTAAGAGACAATCCAAGACATGGATCAGTTGGCGATACAGACATACATCACACGACTCGAGACACAACTCTTTTACCTCAAAAGAAGTCAACATTTTCTGCACAAATGGATACAAATGAAGACATCGTTAGACCCGATGACGGATCAGTCGACAGTATTAACGGATCAGATAATGAACAAAGAGATGCAAATGAGAGCTCTTATGAAATCGATACCAAACCACTGATTACTGATCTCCTGATGTCCGGACCCGACAGCAGATGTAATACTCTTTTCGGTCAACTCTTTAAGTCCAACGAAGATCTCAGACCACACGTGCGGACACACGTGACCGACGATCACATCCAGACATCGATTACAAGAAAATCTAAGTTTCGGTTCAAATGTTTGGCCGAAGAATGCGATCACAGATTCATCGCAAAGATAACACTCATTGAACACATGCTAAACAGTCATCGAATAGAAGACACGTATGAATGCAATGATTGCGATGCCGTGTGTCTGACCACCGATGAGATCATTAAACACCGACATCGAGAGCATGAGATGAAGACAGTTGTGTCTACTCGCGAGTCTTGTGGCGAGAGTTTCGATAGTAATGGATATACAGCTCTTCGGCAACACATTCAAGACATTCCCACAACTAGTGGTCAACAAAGTCTTGGCGAAGAACTCTTGGACTTCGATGGATTCAATAGATCTGATGGAGTGATCGCCGGACAAAATGTGACCACAATTACCACTCATGAGACGAGGAATAGCGGACGTCGTAAGCGAAGAGCTAATAGCGGCAAACCATCGAAACAATCAAAGCGTACGAAACAATTATACTGTGATTACAACGGATGTCACAGAGTGTTTGGCGACGCCAGAGATCTCGAAAGGCATCGCTTCACACACTCGGCGGACAAACCCTTCAAATGCACAGTCAATGGGTGTCTCTATTCATGTATAACTAAATACCAATTGGAGAGACATATGAACAGACATCTGGGTATCAGACCCTATGTGTGCACTCATGAGGGCTGTGGTAAACGGTTTACTCGCAACGACGCCTTACAACAGCATGTGGTCCGCGAAGGCCATCGGCTGTCAGTTTAAGACATGGCATAGAAATGCGTTGACAAGTGATGGGAAACGGGTTTATAAGTTGTTGTGATTACGTGTTTATATATTTTAATGTGTTTTTTAATGAATTATTGTTTTTAATTATAATATTTGATTCAAAATGTATTGATTTAATTTACAATTTAATAAAAATTTTGATTATTATTGATGACTATTTATGTGAACGTAAGTTGTGTTAAGCCGTGAGCTCTCAAAAGTCAAGCATTTGTTTACAAACAATACTTGAATTCAATGTTTGACTCAATTTTATAATTAGTTAAACTAATTTAGTTTTGTTTGTATTAAAGTTTTATTAATTAAATGAATGAATGATTAAATTGTGGTAAAAATGAGTGTATTAACGAGTGGATTAATGAGCATGGTCAAAGTGAACAAGGTTGTGGTGCAAGTGTTGAGAGAAGAGATCCAAAGTCTTCGTAAAGAGTTGTCATTTGAGAAACAATTGAATGAAATGTTAGAAAATATCGCAAAATATTCATTGGATTTGAAAACCAATTGTTTTTGTGAACGAAATAAACAGACATTTGTTTTGTTGAATGATTTGCACTCAAAATACCACACATTTAGAGATAATCCAAGACATGGATCAGTTGGCGATACAGACATACATCACACAAGTATTACCCCAATTGGTCGACCGCTAAAGAGGCCAACAGTCGAGACACTAACGCAGGACACGAGTGAAGACACGGAGATATCAGATGCGGAACCAATTGATGACAGCAATGATGGCCAACACTTTGTAACCAAATCTCGTGTGAGAGCTCACGTGACCGGCGGTCACACCATAACATCGACTGCGAGACAAGAGTCCGCTCTTAAACCTAAGATTACTGTTAAGAGACCAGTGATGAGAGGTTTTCAATGCGATTACGAGGGCTGTCGTAGAGTCTGTTCCAATTCGTCGACTCTAAGGATACACCGATTAACGCATTCGACAGACAAACCGCACAAATGTCCGGTCAATGACTGCCGCTATCAATGCATACGTTTTCGTGAATTGCGGAACCATCTCAACAACAAACACAATGGCCTTCATCTCCATCCGTGCCCTCACGATAGTTGCGGTCAACTGTTTCTGACCGCCGAAGAACTCGCACAACACCACATCGATTGTCATCTGCCCACTGATGCCGTTCCCGAGCCGTTGGCCAAAGTGTTTGCGTGCGATTTCATTGGCTGCGAGCGAACCTTTTCGACACAACGCGACCAAACATTTCACCAATTGACACACGCGGGCGATAACGGGGAACAACCACTTGGATCCGTTGGCGATACAGTCATAGGTGAGTCGACTGTCACCCAAATTGGTCGACAACTACCGAAGCCAAGAGGTCGACCGCCGAAGTGGTCAATACCTTTGACACAAACTTACGGCACGAGTGAAGGCACAGAAATATCAGATGCGATACCAATTGATGACAGCATTGGTGACAGAGATTCAGACGAGGCGTCCAATGAAAGTGAGACAAAGAGATCACATAAAACCAAATGTCAATACAAGTGTGCAGTCAATACATGCGATAAAAGGTTTGAAACTCAGGAGGAATACTTCAAACATTTGGATCAAATTCACTGCACTTATCGATGTAATGACTGTAATCTCGGTTTTCTAACTCCACATTATGTCTCACTTCACCGGAAGACGTGTCCGAAGAAACCATTGATAACGACTCAAGACTTGAATGTAGGCATAGAGTCGTCGAAGACTTCACTGGCAAAGAGCGGTGAAATTGTTTGCAGATATAAAGACTATAAGTCGTGTCCGAAGTGTTCAAAGAGTTTTCATACTGAGAGACAATTGTCGGCACACAAAGAGTTGTGTCAATACATTGAGAAGAGTTTAGTCAAGACATGCGATAAAAGGTTTGCAACTCAGGAAGAATACTACAAACATTTGGATCAAATCCACTGCACATATCGATGTAATGACTGTAAACTCGGTTTTCTAACTCAACTGTTACTCACAAAACACGGGAAGTTGTGTCCGAAGAAACCATCGCTTGGACTCATTGTTCAACAGTCAGTGATAACGACTCAAGACCTGAGTGTAGGCATAGAGTCATCCAAGACTTCACTGGCAAAGAGTGACGAAACTGTTTCCCGACTCAAACATAAAGACAATAATTTGTGTCCGAAATGTTCAAAGAGTTTGCAAAATGAGAAACACAAGAAGTCGTGTCAATACATTCAGAAGTGTTCAATCAATACATGTAACCAATGGTTTAAAACTCCGGAAGAATATCACAAACATTTGGATGACATTCATCTTAGATATGGATGTAATGTCTGTCCGAAGAGGTTTCTCACTCAAGAGATGCTC